GAGAGAGAGAGAGAGGATGAATGAAGGGATGGGGGAGAGGCGTGTCTACGAAAGAAGGGCTGAGCCTGTAAGTTTAGCCAAAAAAGCATAACAACTTGAGTCAGGCATGAAATTTTAATTAGTGTGAAAACCAAAATTATTGGGCACCAAAACGGTTAGCGAGATTATTTGTTTGTCATCCAAAAGTACACTTTTGGGTGCATCCAAAATGGCCTGCCTTAACATTTGAATCTTTTTTAATAATTGATATTCTAATTAGGAAGCTGACAGTGGCCAATCAATGTGCCATAGTCTTGTGACAGATTATAAGTACTGATTCCCATTCTTTGGGCTATATAGTATGAGGTGTTAATATTAGGGAAAACTTATTATAATGCAATGGACTGTGGATGCCAATAGTCCATTGGGTTATACCCTTCACTGTAATGGTCATTGATGGAGATAGTGGGACCCAGCAGAACATGTATTGTACCATATGGTGCATCGAACTCTCTGCATCACCTTCCATTTGACCCTTCGGTGGTGGTGATGGCTGCGCAATAGACCATGATTTCCTTTTCTCCAAGGGATTGTAGTGTACTTAACGCTTTTTATTATTTAGGAAACATTACACCAATAAACAGTTCTTCATGATAAAATGTCACTTCTTCACTTCTTGGGAAATGAAAATCTAAGATGAAGTGGTCATGCAATTGGGATTTGCAGGTTACATTGCTCGTAGCTACCAGCGTTGCAGAAGAAGGGCTCGACATTCGACAGTGCAATGTTGTCATTCGTTTTGATCTTGCTAAAACTGTTTTGGCATACATACAATCTCGAGGTCGTGCACGCAAACCTGGATCTGATTACATTTTGATGCTTGAGAGGTACCATTCTGTCTTGTTTGACTCCATTATTTTTTCGTAAATCATTATGCCAATATTATTTACTCTGAGAATTCTGGAAAATACAGAAAAACCTGTCTTGGTATATATTTAAGGAAGAAGCTTGGTAATAAACAAACAAAACCTGGGATTAAGACCAGTGACAATTGGTTGAATGATGCTTTCTGTAGGGGAAATCCCCAATAGAAGGATGCTTTTTCTTGGCAAATTAAACGATATTCTACAAATGAAATTGCAAAACTTAACCTTCCATGTTTTTCTGTAAGAAGAATCTTGTTTCTTTTCTTGCATCAGTGTCACAGGATATGTGGAAATTACCTGACTAGGTCTCCATATGCTGATATTATGGCATGTGACAATAACTATTTTCTGAATTGATTCGGTATCTATATCAGGGGAAATCTTTCACATGAGACGTTCTTGAAGAACGCACGGAATAGTGAGGAGACCTTGCGGAGAGAAGCTATTGAGAGAACTGACCTTAGCCATCTTAAGGGCAACACAAAATTTGCTTCAGTGGTCACCACGCCAGGATCAGTGTATCAAGTGGAGTCAACGGGGGCTATTGTCAGTCTGAATTCTGCTGTTGGTCTCATTCATTTCTATTGCTCCCAGCTTCCAAGTGACAGGTCCGATTATTGTTTAGTTTGAAGTTTCTCTTTGTTAGTTTCATTTCAAATCCACCTACCAAACCACCTAACAATATTTTTTTTCGTTGAGAAAAGGCTCCATCAAAGTTCAATTTCTGTTTGGCTCTTATGACACATTTATACTTTTGCTTCCATGTGCAGGTACTCTATACTCCGCCCAGAATTTGTCATGAATCGGCATGAGAAGCCAGGTGGTTCTGTTGAGTACTCATGCAAGCTTCAGCTTCCTTGTAATGCTCCATTTGAAAAGCTTGAGGGCCCTTTTTGCAATTCGATGCGTCTTGCTCAACAGGCATGTGGAACTAGTTTTGATTTCAGTGCTGCAACACTTTGATGTGTTCACTGCCAAATTGACTATTTTTGGGTTGTTCTGTTTCTATTGTTGTTGGATATAGGGATTAGAGTTTAGTAAGGTGCAGCTTTCTTTGTTTGCAATGTATTCATGCTTTATTAGTTTGTATTTTTAAGCTGTACTTTATTAGTTCAATTTTCTTATTTTATTTTCTTGCAAGGCGTGCATCATTGCCTAATTACTGCCCGTTAATGGTTTCTAGCTTCTTTTTTTAATTATATATATATTTGTTGCTTTCACTACTTTTGCAGGCTGTTTGCTTGGCTGCTTGCCAGAAACTCCACGAGATGGGGGCTTTTACTGATATGCTTTTACCAGATAAGGGAAGTGGAGAAGAGGGAGAGAATGTCGACCAGAATGACGAAGGAGATCCTCTACCTGGAACAGCACGGCATAGGGAATTTTATCCTGAAGGTGTAGCACAAATATTGCGAGTACGTTACTCTTTCCCACTGAATTTTCAACCACAACAAATTGGATACAGAATGGAAGTTCAAGATATCTTATGATTTTTATAGATATGAGTTGAAGTAGTGATTACATCCTAGACTCATTATACTTCTGTATAAGAGGAGCTGTTTGTTCAATAGTTGCGCAATTTGATTTTTTTTATGTCATGTAGTTGTACATTGAGGGGCAACTGAATTGCCTATTATTTGTATATAAATGTTCCATAAGATTATAAATATGGAAGTGGTTCTTTGAGTTTATGAGGTTTAGTTTTTCATGTCCAGAACTTACAACTTACAGCGTTGCCTTCCTATTAGATGATAATATTTTCTTTTATGTTCTGAGATACATCCAGTAGTGATGTTTTCCTCTGTCAATTCAGGGAGATTGGATTTTAATTGGGAAAGATGATTGCCATGAATCGGAGTTAATTAAATTATTTATTTATAAAGTGAAGTGTACAAATATTGGCAACACAAAAGACCCTTTTCTAACACAGGCTTCAGACTTTGCGCTGCTCTTTGGCAGTGAGCTGGATTCTGAGGTACAGTATTCTTTTTTCTTTTAGTTATCTTATTGAAAGCATTGACCCATTTAGACTGTTTGTGTTGATTCGATTGACATAAGTCCTTGTTTTTCAGGTTTTATTAACAACAATAGATCTTTTCATTGCTCGCACGATGATAACAAGGGCCTCCCTTGTTTTTAGGGGCTCCATAGAGATTACAGAAAGCCAGGTCATTTATTTCTTTTGCTTTACCAATGTGTTGACAAATGCACACACAAATTTAAGTTGCAGACGCTTAACAAGTTCTCAGCTTGGGTTTTCAGCTGGTGTCATTAAAGTGCTTTCATGTGCGGCTAATGAGCATTGTGCTGGATGTTGATGTGGAACCTTCCACTACACCATGGGATGCTGCAAAAGGTTATTTATTTGTTCCTATCATAAATGAAGAGTTTTCAGATGTTCTAAAAGAGATAGATTGGGATCTAATAGACATGATCAATAAAACCGATGCATGGAACAATCCTCTACAGAGGGCTCGCCCTGATGTATACTTGGGTACAAAAGAGAGGACGCTTGGTGGGGATAGAAGGGAGTATGGATTTGGAAAGCTACGTTATGGCATGGCTTTTGGACAAAAGTCGCATCCTACCTATGGCATCAGAGGAGCTGTTGCTCAGTTTGATGTTGTTAAGGCCTCTGGTCTGGTTCCTTCTCGGCAAGATCTTGAAGAATCAAATGGGTCTCCTACCTTTCGTAAATTATCAATGGCTGATACCTATATTGATGCAAATGACCTTGTGGGGAGAATAATAACTGCTGCACACTCTGGGAAGCGATTTTATGTGGACTCCGTACGTTTTGACACAAATGCAGAGACCTCATTCCCCAGAAAGGAGGGTTATTTGGGACCACTGGAATACACCTCATTTGCTGATTACTATAAACAGAAGTATTCTCATTATCTACATCTTAAATGCTTTCTCTGCTCATATAATTTTTCTTTTGCCTGGCCTCCTATGTTGTGAAATTTTCATTTTCTGTTTGTTGGCATGGGTTTGTTTTCTTGGTAGGTGCATCAATATGTTTGGCCCCTGTGATTTTTTGGTTGCTAATTATTGGCATCCATTTGCTGGAGGCACATGATTTCTGAGATACTCTGGGTGGAAATTTAGCCAGATCTGCAATATCAGAAAATCACACATGCACATGCTTACTCACACACACACAATAGCACACCTATCTGGATATTTTAACATGCATTCCCATGGACTGATGTTCTTGCATGCTTGCACTTCAGAGTTTGTGTTTCCATTGTATATTTGGTTGTTTAGATGAAAGATCCAGTAATTAAGAGCGTGCATACTGTTTTTACTGCTTGAATGACATGCACAACTCATGAGCCTTCATCTGAAGGGTTCATGTTGGAAACATTTTACATTGAGCGGAAAAGAAAAGAAAAGAAAAGGAAAGAAAAAAACACTATGCACTGTTCTCCCCTGTATACTAATCCAACACAAGTTCGTGCTCATGCATTTAGCATGGCTGACAAAAGGCAGAGGTGAGCTTTTCTTTTCAAATAAATTAAAATTTAAAGTATAAATCGCTGTCAAAGGCATCTTGTACACAGCTGGCTCAAAAGATTTGGCCGTCTATTGGCACCAAATTGAAGTTAATATTCAGCGGTTAGAATATCTACTAGCCTGAGTGAAGATGAGCTTCCATTGCATTTTATAGTACATGGGTGTATCTTATTTATTCATTCGTGTTTTATTTCATGATAGGTATGGAGTTGAATTGATTTACAAGAAACAACCTCTTATACGTGGACGTGGGGTCTCATATTGCAAGAATCTCCTTTCTCCAAGATTTGAGTCTTTTGAGGGTACCCTTCCACGCATGAATTGTTTAGTAATCATAGGATTTTTGTTTTTTTAGTGTTAACTTTGGACCTGGTGAGAATGGAACTACAGACGTCATGTTGTGGCACCTCCATGATCATCTGTGCCTAGAGCCCGTTGTTGATCTTAGGAATCTTTATATTCTTTCACATCATCATGGCTAGCTTGGGCACTTAACAGTGGTTCTGTTTTGGGTTGGGATACTGTGGCAGGAGAAGGTGAAACCGAAGATACGCTTGACAAGACCTATTATGTGATGCTCCCTCCTGAGTTGTGTCTTGTGCATCCATTGTCGGGATCACTTGTACGGGGGGCCCAGCGATTGCCTTCAATTATGAGGAGAATAGAGAGTATGCTTCTCGCAATTGAATTGAAGGATAAGATCAACTACCCTGTCCCTTCTTCGATGGTAATATAATTTGATGAATTTTTCTCTAAGAAAAACAGTAATACAATTTGATGATTTTATTCATGAGAAAGGTCAACTACAATCCAATGGATAGACCATAGTTCACTGCATCATTATCGTCCAGGGATACGATAATGGTGATGGAGGGTGTAGGGATTCAATATTAGGGTCATGTCTTGTGGTCGCACTACCTCTGTCACCATCCATTTTATCGGCTGGTGGTGACCCTAATGTACTATGAATATAGCAAAATCCATGGGATTATAGTATACTTTGCCTTTATCCATAGCCAATCAGATTATATTGTACTTGTTGGGTTTCTCTATTCATTGCAAATTAACAATTTTATCCATGAAAATTTGTGACTGGAAGCTGCTTAATTTCTCTTCTTCTCAATATCAAGCAAAAACAATAGAAAGATATTATTTCAGCTGGGTATTCCTATGGGCTTTTAACTCATGATTTGATCTTGCAACACAGATCTTGGAAGCCTTGACAGCTGCTTCATGTCAAGAAACTTTCTGCTATGAGAGAGCCGAGCTGTTGGGAGATGCTTACCTGAAGTGGGTAGTGAGCAGATACCTCTTTCTCAAGTATCCTCAAAAACATGAAGGCCAGCTCACTCGAATGAGGCAAAAAATAGTCAGTAATATCGTACTCTACCAATATGCTCTGAGCAAAGGGCTTCAATCCTATATTCAAGCTGATCGCTTTGCCCCATCTAGATGGGCTGCCCCTGGTGTGCCCCCGGTTTTTGATGAGGACACCAAGGATTCGGAATCCACATTATTGGGCCAAGATAGCTTTGCATCTAAGACTGAGCAGATTAAAAGCTTCTATGATGATGACATTGAAGAGGATGTTGATATGGAAGATGGTGAAATAGAGAGTGATTCTAGCTGTTATAGAGTTCTTTCTAGCAAAACTTTAGCCGATGTGGTGGAAGCTTTGATTGGGGTATATTATGTTGAAGGCGATGAGAAAGCTGCAAACCACCTAATGAATTGGATTGGCATCCAGGTAAGAGTTTTTTGTTTTGTATTTGGTTCTGTTTATACCATTGTAATCATATGAATGAGCTGGTTCTTGAATAAAAACCTTTCATCTTAGGCAAAAATGGGAAAGTATGTCATGAACGTCCAATGTACTTTGGGAAAGCATAGCCTGTTGGGGTCATTATCATCCAATGAAGCAATGAACATTGGCAGAAATATAATGGGACACAATTGTTGTCATGTCTTATCTGTAGGGTTCACCTCTATTGTTGTGGATGGTGATGATACTGATATACTAGTTTATTGGATTATAGTATATATTATATTTAGTTGTTGACAATGGGTTCTGCTAACTCTTATTTCTGGCAGCCTTCCATGTTTGCTAGGATATTTATATTGGTGCCGGACATTTTTGCTGAAGTGAATGAGTTTTAGATTATTAACAGCTCATCTTTTGCAGGTCACTTTTCCTGTTTCTTAATGTATTTTAATTGTTTCTTCTTTATTTGTGAAATACTTTATTACCACAAAAAACAAAACAGGTTGAATTTGATCCTAAGGAAATAGGGCACGAGTTGAAAGGTTGTCAAGTTTCGGAAAGTGTTATGAGGAGTATAGATTTTGATTCTTTAGAGGGTGCCTTGAATATCAAGTTCAAAGAGAGGAGCCTGTTAGTTGAAGCAATTACGCATGCCTCACGTCCATCTTCAGGGGTCTCTTGCTACCAAAGATTGGAGTTTGTTGGTGATGCTGTATTGGACCACTTGATAACGAGACACCTTTTCTTTACTTATACCGACCTCCCACCAGGTCGCTTGACTGACTTACGAGCTGCAGCCGTGAACAATGAGAACTTTGCACGTGTTGCAGTCAAACGCAAGCTTCATGTACATCTTCGTCATGGTTCTAGTGCCTTGGAATCACAGGTTCTACTCCTGCACGTTTGCTTTTTGTTACAGAGAGAGAGAGAGAGAGAGAGAGAGAGAGAGAGAGAGAGAGAGAGAGAGAGAGAGAGAGAGAGAGTAGAGTACGTACGTACGTACGTACGTACGTACGTACGTTACGTCGTTACGTTACGTAGTAGTAGTAGTAGTAGAGTAGAGTAGAGAGAGAGAGAGAGA